CACTTACAGGTAATAACTTACCATTGTTTTGCTGTCAGTCTCTCTCTGTGACAATCAGACAGCTGCAGTGAAGGATGTACCATTGATTGACTGCCAGTCGCTGTCTTTGAGTATAATCAATCTTATACTTGATCAATTCTGTATTGCTGATCCTTGACAATCAATCACTGACTGGAAATCATTGACGATCAATCACTGACTGGAAATCATTGACGATCAATCACTGACTGGAAATCATTGAGAATCAATCGCTGACTAGAAATCATTGACATGACCAGAAATCATTGACAATCAGTCGTTGAAAAGAAATCTTTGACAATCCGTGACTGTCATTCGATGTTACGGTATGTCAAAATTTCAAAAAGACAAAAATCAGGTTTGGTGTAGAGTTTGATGAGACAAATAGATTGGTCCTTGTCTCCTCCTTTTTGTTAGAATAGTAACAACTGACCCATATATGACATACGACAATCATGTGACAACTGACCCGTGTGACATACGACAATCATGTGACAACTGACCCGTGTGACATACGACAATCATGTGACAACTGACCTGTGTGACATATGACAATCATGTGACAACTGACCCATGTGACATAGGACAATCATGTGACATAGGACAATCATGTGACATAGGATGATCATTTGACATAGGACAATCATGTAACATACATGTGACAGCTGACCCTTGTGACATAGGACAATCATGTGACAAAGGACAATCATATGACATACGACAATTACATGACAAGTGACCCGTGGGACATTGCGTGTGCCACTGACCTGTGTGACGACTGACCTATATGAAATACGACAAATCATGTGACAACTGACATGTGTGACAGACGACAATCAAGTGACAACTGACATGTGTGACAGACGACAATCATGTGACAACTGACATGTGTGACAGACGACAGTCATGTGACAACTGACATGTGTGACAGACTACAATCAAGTGACAACTGACATGTGTGACAGACGACAATCAAGTGACAACGGACCCATGTGACATACGACAATCAAGTGACAACGGACCCATGTGACATACGACAGTAACGTGACAACTGACCTGTGTGACATACGACAATCATGTAACATAGGACAATGATGTAACGTTGGACAATCATGTGACATACGACAAGTACATGACAACTGATCAGTGTGACATTACGTGACAACTGACCTGTGTGACATACGGCAATCATGTAACATAGGACAATGATGTAACATAGGACAATCATGTGACATAGGACAAGTACATGACAACTGATCAGTGTGACATTACGTGGCAACTGACCGGTGTGACATACGACAATCATGTGACGACTGACCCGCGTGACATACAAAAATCATGTGACAACTGACCAGTGTGACATACAAAAATCATGTGACAACTGACCCACGTGACATACGACAATCATGTGACGACTGACCAGTGTGACATACAAAAATCATGTGACAACTGACCAGCGTGACATTGTGTGACATACGACAATCATGTGACAACTGACCAGTTTGACATACAAAAATCATGCGACGACTGACCCCCGTGACACGTTCTGTCTGTCCCAGGTGTTTGGCAGGATCAAACTGGACTACGAAACCCAGATCCAGCCCAACAATCACTTCCAGACGTTTGCCCATGCGGTGCTGGTGTTGTTCCGCTCGGCGACGGGCGAGGCCTGGCAGGACATCATGCTGGCGTGCTCGGGCAAGGACGACGTCCTGTGTGACCCCTCGGCCGACCCCGCCGCGGGCTACAAGGCCAACAGCACCGGGCCGCCGCCCTCCTGCGGCAACGACTTTGCCTACTTCTATTTCATCACCTTCTACTTCCTCTGCTCTTTCCTGGTGAGTTGTGGGAAGAGTTGTTCTGCACTTGCGAAACTAATAGGTCACATCAGATTTGAGGTGTTACTAGAGAGCTTTGTTTTTTTTGTTTTTGTAAAGTGTTTTACGGCTCTCGCAACTGCATAAGGTCATATGAGCGCGCGGGACACACCTAATATTTTCAG